GAGTTGACCAGCAAATGCTCGGAAAATTAAAATCGCCAAAAATTATTAAGAGAGAGTTAGGAAAACGAGAACACAGTAGCGTCAAGACACGGGTAAATTCATTAGAAAAGTCAGTATTTGCATCTGGGGAGCGGTAAAAAACACCAATAAGTATGACGCGGCCGCCACACTTCAGGGATACCCATACACTTTCCAAAAACGAGGTAACCGGAACAGGTACTGCAAGCACATCATTTTTTATCGCCAGAAGTACGCCACCTCCCCTTCTATGTTTCCTATCACAACGAAAAAATTTGTAATCTGCCCACGTGAGAAAAATACTGCTGTCAGGAATGTCATCGTTTAGCCACGTTTCAGTTAGGAGAAAAATACTGCTGTCAGGAATGTCATCGTTTAGCCACGTTTCAGTTAGTGCGACGATGGTTGGTGTGCAAGAATCAACGAGGGATGACAACGGAATGCTTTTGGACTGAACGCTTCTAATGTTCGTGTACAAAAAACGAACACCACCAGAACTTCTTTGGTGCGATGATAAGGAATGGTTAATTGTTGAACGGGGGGTAGGGTCAGGCTGCAGTCATACCGTAGCGGAAGAGGATTGAGATAGCGCAGCGTGATTAGTGATGAGTGCGGCTTGATTGGTATTGGGGTCCCATACATAAACGTCATCATTGATGTGAAGCCTGTCAAAAACGAGCCTCACACGGTCACTTTCCTTTTTTTAACTTTTTCGAGAACTGCAGTAAGTTACGCCGCTTTTCCCGAACTGGTTTAGAAAAGTCACGAGACAGGCCAAACAACGTATTTTTCAGCTTACTGCCACGACTTATTATTGCCTCCACCTCTTTATCATTGAAGAACTTGCCAAATATAGGCCGAGATTTATCGGGTAAGAAACGCCCCAAGCGATGTGCACGGGCGATAGAAGTGACAGTGAGCCCGAGCTGATTTTGACAAAAATCAGTTACGATTTTTTGAACGGCCTCCCACGATTCCGTTGGGTCACCGTCCGCTATCCCATAAAATAAAACATTTGACCTTTGCGACCGATTTTCAAAATGATCTATCTTGTCCCGGATTATTCAAATATTGTCATGGCTTGTGGTGGCCTCCGAAGAACCACACGACTGAATTTTAGACTGCAGGACGACAATCTGGTTTTGTATTTCAGACAGTTTCGCGTCATTGTTTGCGGGGATTTGTGCAGAGATAGAGGACTCTAACCTAGATTCAAGTTCAGTAACCCGTTTCGAAAGCGAATCGTAATCATCTTTCAAGGTAATATGAATGTGCAAAACTTTATTTACGGATTCAAGCAGAGAAATATTTGAGGCTTCCATCCACTTACCTGCATCGAAGACAAAGTCAAGTTTCTCTTCCTGAGGCTTAGGCATGGCCCTGGATTTGACTCAATGTCACCATGAAGTAATAACAGGCGCCAGAGGTACATTGCAGCCGCGCGAACACGCTTCAAAAAACAATGTAGACGAAAAGGCATGTAAATGTAACCGATGGTATAGCGTCCCGTTTAAACAACCAGTATTCTCATATGCTTTACAGTATAGAACTGATCATGTTACTATCTTCAACAATGGTTTTAAAAGAAGCGTCCTTGTGGTGAATCGGAGGTGTGACCTGTTAATCTATTTTAACACCCAGCATAGGGCACAATGCAAGTCGGAGGGAAATATGAAAAGGACAAGCACTACATCTGAGTTTTTCAAGTGTCATTAATGAAATGCACAGGCATAAAGAAAAGGATAAATATGCTGCTATATGTACACACAACGAAGAAAAACCTCCGTACTAATCACTGCAATTAAATTTGTTCTATCACTATGGAGATCACCAAGAATGCTTTTACTGAATGATATGTTATCCCCTTCATGAGATGCAACAGTTGAATTAAACAACTATGGTGTTTACTAAGTTAGGGCTTTTGTCATTATATCATTTGTAATGTGTTTGATAATCTTTGTTTTTTAATCTTTGTTTTTTGATAAATTTGTTTTATAATGGCAATTGAAATGGCAACTATTCAGTCAGATGAGAAATATCCCATTCATTGCTGCAAAGTTATATGTTATGACACCATTCTGACACGTCAAAGGAAATCTGAACAAGTTGCAAAGGTCTTGATTTTAAAATTATTTGAATTTAGAGACATATAACACGATCAGGTATTACTATTAGAAGTTTCTTACGAACGGATAAAAAAGAAGCTATATAAAGTGTAAAAACAGCACTTACGATAACACTGGCCGAGGTCAGAAAAAATGCTCAAGACCTAGAAAAACAGTCGACTTTCCTGTGCGTTGGAGAAGTCTATTTGAACTTTACTGCCAAAAACTAGCAAAGGGCCTTTTTTAATCTCAATCAAGGAAAGCCTTGCCTTGGTTTTTGTGATAAGGAAGCATTTTGTTTCTGGCCATCAACGTCTCCTCGGGAGATGTTAGAGCATCTAAAGATTACAAGTACTTTTACCTCATCAACGTACTCTAACCAGACAAACTTCCGTTTTGTTGGAGGTGCACATATTTTCAAGTTGCAATTTAAGGCTGCGTTGAGAGGTACGTCAAATTCCTTTATTATGCTCTTGATGGCTAGTAACATTGGTTCCTACTGCTCTGCTCTACATGGGCCTGCAAGCACAAAAACTTATGCAAGTACAAAAGATATGCACATAATAACAGACTCCCAATAATGCTGTAATCAGGTGCTCCCAGGACTTAATAACTGAAAATAACTTGCTTGGAGCACCGCAGCCATAGACAGCATATTTTGGACAAGTACTCTAATGCTCTGCTATAATCATTAGGCATATAGTATCAATTGGGTGATGTTTAGAAACTAATGGACGAGCCGTTGTCGATCATCTGAACATGTTTTCATTACCAAAAGGCTACAAAGACAACGGATGCAACAATATGATTGATTATGGGCTAAATATGCCAAGCAATGGTCTTTCAGCGCACTGGAAAATTGCAATATGATAGTGGGACATCCAAGTGTCAAAGCCCTCCACTGCCCCAATCATTTCATTAATGTATTTGATCTTCATTAAATAATTAGCATTAAAAAGTGGGAGAAAACAGAAAGACTATATGTTTCTCGCTCCAGATAAATTACTACTAGATCATGAAAAGGAGATGCACTGATTGAAATATGCTGCACATTGCACTGTGGAAAGTGCCACGATGTTCAGAACATTATTGTGCCATAACCATATCAAACTACACCTTCACAGTAGGGCAAGCTTTAGATCTAGGTGTCAAGAAAAATAAGCATGCCAAAGTTGTGTTGAAGGCAAAGCACCTGCTCTTTATATAGATAAAAATTTACAGGTAACCACTTGACACATCAGTCATACAACATATTTTTAATGCTGTGGCCCACTCTGGCTGATATCTGCAGAACACCAGCAACCAAATTGCCAACAGCGTGAGGAATAAGCTAGTTTGCAAGACCGAGCATGAACATGTGCTAATTGCGAATGTCCCATCATTCTAGAGGCTAACCTAGGTATGATGCACCTTTGCTGTATAATTTTTACACAGTGACTTTCTATGTGTAGCGGACTGCTTATCTTGCACTGTCATGAACTGATGCAACCAGCAGCCAATGAGGTAGAGACAACAAATGTGTAATGAACTGAACGGCTCGCGTGTGAGCTCCAACTGGAGATATCGCAGTCACAGTTTGTTTTTTCACTATGCTACTTGGTCTAACTGTGCCAGTTGTTCAAGCAATACGATAATTATACTGTGTCACACAGGCACTAGCGATCGCGGTCAAGGCATCTCAGCCAAGCTCGATCTGGATTAGGCTGTACACTGCTGCGCCGCTGCGACAAACTTGTTGCTCGCAATCTCGAGTGAAACCAGTATTGCTCACCGCTACACGGTCCAAACTAATCCTGATCAAGTATGATGCAGCCGTCAGTCCATTTGCTAACTGACCGCAATCGGCCCTTGTCGCACTTAAAGGTGACCACATGCAGCAAGTAAGTACCCCTGTGACGGCGATCAGTAAAGCGAGTCAGTTCGCACCTTCTTATTGAGTACTAACGTCTGCACAAATCAGCCAACACTTTCGTATCATCATGCACTGCAATTTTACAAACGTACAAACCACTACACAACACGCACACAACCATCACTCGTGCATAATCACATGAACGCAGGTTGAGGTGATTCAGCACTACCGCTTGCCCGAAACAGCTAGCGCTCACGCATCACCACATTCGCAGGGAATAATATCGCAATCTCACAGACAGCCACACAACACCAAAATAGAGGAAGTGCTCACTGCACCATACACAAAACTAACAAAACAGTGAGCGCGAAGGTAGTCGACGTCCACGCACTGAGTCAGTGTTGATACATAACTGTGCGTGCAAAAAAAGGCTGTATTTTGAATTGGTGATCAATGCGTTTCGAAATATTATCAGGTGTGTTTGTGCAAGCTTGACGAAGGCAGGATCTATTAAGATAAAATGTATGAAAATGCAATAACAGTGATGACAGTCTGCGTTCTTCATGAAGGGGTAATGAAAGTCAGTGTGTAATATCTGTAATGCAGCAGTTGCGAGAATACTACTTAGTGATAAATCCTGCTGCATCACTTTATAAGTTAATCAATGAGATATAATAGATGTGGGTTCCAGATGATGGATGCATATTCTATCTTTGAATGGACAAGTGTAGTGATTGATTTATATTTATATGTGGGGTTTGACGTCCCGAAACCACTATTTGATTACGAGAGACGCTGTGGTGGAGGGCTCCGGAAATTTCAACCACCTGGGGTTCTTTACGTGCACCCAAATCTGAGCACACGGGCTTACTACATTTTCCCCTCCATCGGAAATGCAGCCGCCGCAGCCGGGATTCGATCCCGCGACCTGTGGGTCAGCAGCTGAGTACCTTAGCCACTAGACTTCCGCGGCGGGGCGGACAAGTGTAGTGTAGGCTAGCATTTTAGTGATATAGTTCACCAACGTACTTCCAAAGTACATATACTAAAATTGGAACGATACAGAGAAGATTAGCATGGCCCCTGCGCAAGGATGACACGCATATAGTTCACCAAGTAAAGGTTTCTTTTAAAAAATCCAAGTGCTTTTGACACCTTATTAGTTATGTTATCAATGGGCTTATTCTGAGATAGGTCAGAAGATAAATGAATTCCAAGATATTTAAACAGGGATACTTGTTCAATGGGGGACAGCTTGAATTTCATATTGACTCATTTCTGTTTTATGTGCTCTTGTAAATGTCATGGCGTTTATTTTGGAAGTGTTAATTTGCATTTGTCACTGGTGACACCAAAGTGCGAGTTTAATAATGTCCAACTGTAATGACTCATTAGCTTGGGTGCTGTCAATTTTTTCTGTAAATGATGTAGTTGTATGTACATAATCTGATAGTAGATGATAAACCATGTCCAATATCCTTGATGTAAATGAGAAACAAAACTGGTCCCAGGACTGATCCCTAGGGAACACCAGACTTTATATGTGAAAGTGAAGACGCATATCCACTCACATAAATTGATTGGCTGCAGTCCAGATGCCTCTCAGACAGCATGAACAAGATTGTGAGGAGTTTTTTTTTTCAGATATGCTATGTGATATGTAGAAGGAATTAACATACATCAAAATACTGCATGTACCAACATGGAAGCTAAGGAATGTTTTAGTAAATGGGAATAACAAGCTGCCGAGTAGAAATTTTCCTAGTCTTGTTCACACTGAAGTCTGCCATCATTGTGACAACCCGTTAATCTATTAGACCTATGATTCCAACGAAAGAGTTAAACAATGCGAATATGATGTCACCAAATCATGGGCGGCCTCGAATGCCCTCGCCGAACATGTGGAATATACAGGCTTTCGAATTGGCTGGTCAAGCAATCGTTTTCTGGTCAAAGAAAACTAGCTTGCATTAAGCTGGCACCTGGAATCCCTGCACATGCACACAGCTGCAGATATCCTCAATAAGATTTATGGCACGCTGACTATGTACTTTTGGCGCTTACAACGCACCTAGTCATACTTAAATACGATGTACCTTTCTCATGGCTGTTATTCAGAACAATATCAGGTTCCCAAACGTTAATAAACTTTGTGTTATTTTGGTCGGTGTATCCTTTTGTTTGTACACTAGAAAGAAACAGCTATGCACTGCCTTTCTTTCAGGCTTCTTCTATCTGTTCACTGTAGTTGCAGTCGAAGGAGCGAGTTTTTTACTATTGATCAAGGGTAACGCCTATTTTTGTGGACTGCCGTCAGTTTCCATTAATTGGCCAGGTTTTACCAAGGTTCCCCCACTTCTCCAGCACGGACCGAATTCCCCGAATTTTCCAGGTTAGTAAACAACCTGCACAAATAAAGATAGATGGCAGTTAACTCGCATCCCATGTTTCTTGTCTTATGCGAGTGTCATTCTGCACTTTATTACCTTGAAGTGCTTGTTGCTGGGCGGGTAGGTATAACATTACTAGGGAAAATTCTAGACGATGCGAATGTGTGGTGTGGTGCGGTGTAAATATTTTCTGCAGTTCAGCTACGAGTGACGCTCTTTTCTGTGCTTTTTCATTTTTCCTGTGGTGCTTAGGCATCTAGAATTTTCCCCCTTAGCTTAATTACCTCCTTGAAGCTATACTCCCTCTCGCCCATTAAGAACTAGTGGTAAACTATTGTATGTGGCATTGTTGATGCAAAATTACCTTAGAGTATATGCTAGAGCTCCTGCAGGATCACCGGCTCAATGTGACAATGCGTTCACCATTTATAGGACACGAAGTGCTGATACTTTGAATATATCTTTTTGCACAGTGCTTCATTGAAGTCATGCAAGCTTAAAATATGGTGCTCCCGCAAATAAATGTTTCTTGCTGTGCTGTGAACAACGGAAAAACTATGTAGACAATAACGAAAAGAGATCGCAGCTAGGCCTATTGGTGCAATGTCTGCCTCAATAAATTAATGCAATAAATTAATGGAAGAAAACTCATATCAACATGGGGTTGCCAGTTTATTACTACATTTTTTATGAACCTCTGCCTGCTCCACCATGGTGTTCCTGTGGGTGTACACAGTCTTACCTCTTAAACAGCATTGGCAGAAACAACTTCTCTGTCACAATCTTGAACAGGTGCGTGACAACCATGAGCCAGTGCAGAGAACACAAGAGAAATGCTCACTGCTTACATGTTCAAAGTCCTACGCATGCACACCAGACTATGATTTTACAGTGTCTTACATTTTGAGTGAAGTATACATCGTGATGGCTGGAGCCATTTCTGTGGGCACCAGCTAGACTGTCACAATGTGCATATTGTTGCTTGAGACAACTTAGAACAAAAAAAAGACACCCTGGAAAAAAATATTTTTAGGCTAATGTAAATGCTTGTGGTGGGGAAACTTTCAAAAGGTATATGGCGTGTCATCTTGCAACAGAGAAGCAACACTTATACCTGGTATATGTTAATAGGAGTCTGCTGAACATTGGCCATACAAGCTTGTGGCTAGAGATGGATGATGTCCAGAAGATACCCTCCTGAAATGTTGACCTGCACCGTCCTCCCTTTCCTTCTTGGTGCAATGGAAGTTTTGCCCTATAAGTAATAGTAGCTTCAATGTGTGTTCTTGAAGGGGTTGTGAATAAGCTCACTCTTACCACCTGCTTTACCCAAGGGCCCATCCTGCTGTTGAAACTTGTTTGCTTGGCAGAAATTTCTAACAGGAAAAGAAGCTTCAATTATTACACAAATAAAGCTACAGAATTGCAAGATTACTATGATGTGTACACAGACCTTGCACGTACTATTCACTAATATGTCACCAAGTGCCTCTATGGTGAGCCTGATTAAGCCTTAAGAAAGCATGTAAGTTTCTTGTTGCTATACTTTTTAATCAGTGCATGAACCTTTAAAAAACAAGATCATCACATGCAGGGCATAAAACCAGCGCTTATGAACTGCAATACTGCCATCAGAAGCATCAGCAAAAGTAAATTCACCCTGCTAGAAACCAAATTCTGCATGAAGCCTGTAAATGTACTGGTAACAAAGTCTTCTCGACAACTTTATTACTTCTATTTCTGCAATTTGCATAATTCTGTCTCATACATACCTTGCTGTCCACCGAATAATCATTGACCTCTGAGGTGTTACTCAAGTCACCATGCTCAGTCAACATACCTGCAAGCCTCAGTGCTAACCTAATAAAATTGGAGACTATAATAAAGTATTGCTCTCTGCTGCTCACCCCTTCAAAAAAACTTTTAGCATCCCCTTCAAACTCGTTCTTTTAAAGACTCAACAGGCACAGTGACGTGACTCATCAAAGCCATTTCCGGAGCAACTAAAATCTCTTTGGAGCAGCATAACAGCCGCCTGAAGCTTTTAAACTAGAGCTCTTGCACCATATGTCAGAGCTAGCCAGTTCATGAACATATGCATGCTTGTTCACTTGGACTTCTGCTAAACATAAAAGTAGGCTTTTTGCTTTTCTGAAGACATCCCCAATTTATATCAAGCACCTAACACTTTTCGGGAATTCACTTGGTATTTGTAATGACTCTGGCTTTCAATGATAGTTGAGCTATCGCTGTCAATCTGACTAGGCACAGACTAGTCAGATTTTTATGCATTCTATTCACTTTTATGCATTGTATAAAAAAAGAGGTCTGATTATGTTAATGTTTTTATTAGTACAACTTAATCGCTCAATGTGTGGAGAAGTGTTTGCTGTCGTCGTTTATGTACGGAATTGTTGGGTTCCTGATCAATGAGCGGTTCATAAAAAAAGGGTTCTGTAACTGGTCCTTACTACCCATTATTTATTATGGTTTAACAAAATATACAGTTATATGAGAGTAAGTAGTTACACTTGCCAAACTGTTTGACATGTACAGGCGTCGAGGTCGAGAAGCCCAGCCAAGACATGCCAGAATAGTGGGACAGCATGCCTTCTACGCGAAGTAACAGTGATTGTACAGCATGCGGTACTGCTGATAAAATTTGCCCACAGTATGGACTTAAAACTTAACCACTCTGTATAAAATATTTTGAAAGTAAACTGAAACAAATAGAACCACAAATTAAAAAAAAATTAACTAAATGGTCAGTTCTATATGCAGGTACTAAATTACTGCATTTTAATACAGTCAGTCAAGCAAGACTGTTGTCCAAGCACAACTATCTCAGTATTACTTTTATCTGTCATTAACCACAACAGTTAGAAACTATTTGACTGAAGTCACATGCAAACTTTTGTAGTACAAGCGTGTTCAAATTGTGAAGAAAGTTTGTGCCCAGCAACTTTTTCAACTACATTGCACATTCCTGTCCTTTGTGATGACATCTCCAAATCGCAGGGGTAATGTATGAATTCAAAGTGCATGCCATATAGTTTCTCCCTGAGAGAACACAACAACGAAGAGTACACGCATGCTTGACATAAATAATGAAATTTTCGAAAAAGATGCAGCAGGTTTCGCCTCTATGTGCAGATCACTGCCGGCACTTACCTAATTAGCACCCTATTTTGCCAACAAGCAGCCCATGTAAGACGTTCGAACATGCGCTATCATGTCGGGTCATAGCCAGTTTCCTCGAACCACCTTGCTCTTAGTTCTGGCACGACATAGGTTTCAAAGATTTATTTCTTGCAAACTGTGTGTATAGTAGGCCATTCTTCAATAGTTACTTTCGTGCTTACTCGATATGAAAACCATGAGCTATGAATTTTCTCACTAAATTTCTAAAATATGAATGGTTATTGAATTCTGAATGGTAATCTACACCCAGCCTTAGTTAACATTTCCTTTATAATCATTTTCAATTTGAGGCATGGCACAAATTTTGGAGTACGTCTGAAGCCGCTCATATGCATCTTTTGTTTATTTAAAGGTGTCATGCAACAATTCTGAATTATTCCTGCATTGAACTAAAATCTCAATGCCTTGCAGATTGCCTGCCACAAAATGTATTTTAATAGGTAAATTTTTATGAACTCGTTACACAAGCTGAAGATGATGACGATACTGACTGCCGCATCCTCACTGATGAGACAGAAGAGAGGATAGCGCGTGTAC